TAGATTAGGTTCCTAAGAAGCTTTTCCGAAGTGAATACAGGAGATTTAGGTGAATCTACAGATTTTTTTTTGGTGCTGTCGGAACAATAAGCAGATTGATTTGTTATATGTCTTGGAAAAATAAAAAAAATCTTAATGATTAAGAAAAAAAAATGAATCTTGAATCTTTTTATTATATTTGATGTTTAAGGTCTATATGAAATCAACTCAGCACAGGAAACGCGCTGCATACGTGTGCATGTTGGTAGGGTTTGTGTGTGTGTGTGTGTGTGTGTGTGTGTGTGTGTGTTGGTCGGGTGTGTGTGGTTCAGATAAGGCTTTTCATTTATATCCCTGTCTGGCTGTTAAATGATGTCTATTGAAGCCTCGGGGGGTTTTGTTTCTGCCAGATGGTTTGATTCTTCTCCAGACTATAATTACAGGGGTCAGAGGTCAAACTGTCGCCTTTAATCCGAAGCTAATTTCAGTCATAATGGATTTCAGATTCAGGAATCAGAGGCGCTGCATGGTTCAGATTGAAGAGGCATGAAGCCGAACAGAAATATTTGAGCTTCTGATGGGTTTCATTTTAAAAATGGATCATCAAGCTGATCCTTTGATTCTCCTGAAAAAAATCTAGAATTATAAACGGTAGAAAGTTTAAAGTATCAAACATTTTTATTGAAAGAAACAAGCACTTTTATAATGGAATGAAACTCACTATTTGAGAAGACTATGAATGATGATTATGTATCCATAATCTATGGATTTTTTGGGGGGTTTAATCTACATAAAAAAATGATATGTTTATTGTTAGTGAACATTTATAGAAAAAAAAAACCTTTAATGCAATTTTTAAATGCATTGCTGATGTAAAAAGTATTTATATATATATATATATATATATATATATTTAGTTATTTTGTATGTTTTTATTTCAACAAATGCTGTTTTAGATTCTTTGTTCCATTAATTTGGGTTATGTTTCAATTATCAGATTACTGGATTATCTCAATAATCCACTAATCACAATCAATCTGATTCAATTATTTTATTCCTACTATTTAAACCAGACAAGAACAAATATTACATCTGAAAAAAGCATCTAAAAATATGCTCCATTGTTGACAGCTTTTCTACAAATTTTATTAACAAATATTAAAAATCAAAAAATAAAAATCTGACACTAGTTTAAGTGATAGAAAAACAGGCCTGTTCACCTTGTTAATATTTGCTGCATCAAAATGAAAATAATTAATTTTTTCTTAAAATAAGTGCATTTTGTCTTGAATTAAGGAGGTAAGTGAGACAGTTTGCTAAAGGAAAGAGAAAATTTTGATTTAAACTAATAATAAAAAAACTGCATTGTCTTATTTCAAGTGCATATTATCTCATTATCTTATCTTAGTAAAAATGCTAATTCCATTGGCAATCTTATCTACCTGCTCAAATTAAGGGTAAATACAATAAATATAAGAATTTTTTACTTATTTTTAGATTGTTTTCAGTATAGTGAATAAAATGGACTCACTATAGTGACCTAAGAATAAAGAAACAACTGGAAAGAAGTGAAAAAGCTCAATAATTTTATAACCATGAACTAAAGCATAAAAGTTGTGCAAAAACATCCTTTACAGGAACAATAGAAAAATAGAAAAAAAGTCTCCTTTAAAATATCAACACACGTCTTTAAATATAAAGCACAGAAGTTTCAGATATATAAGAAAAATACAAAATATATTTGTCATAAAATAATTTCTTAGAAAATAAAACAAAATCAGCAGTTACAATCAGATGAATTCTACAAAATATTTATTCAAATAGATGCAAAAAAAAATCACCTTGATTTAACAGAAGAAAAACTAGACTTTATGAAAAATTTAAAATTATGACTAACATTAAAATAACAGAAAGCAAAAACTAGAAAATAAATAAATGTTCCATTACTACCGCAATAAAAATAAAATCAAAATCAACATTTAATAAAAAAAACAACAAATGGAGAAATTTAAAGTCTATCATAAAGGGAAAGATGCTTCTAATCTGCACCAAGTTTCACAAATTCTTAATAAATATGTTGTTTAAAAAATGTTTTACAAGCAGAAAAAGTAAAATAATATTTCCAACCTTCTGTTGAAGGTCAAAAACGGGCAGCGGAGGCTTTTTACACCAATGTCAGAATAAATGTAGGGAAATGTGAGTTTGTCCTCTGTGTGTTCTACAGAACAAAGGCCTGCAGGCGTCCCCTAAACCTCCAGAGAGCTGCTGTAATGGAGCGCCGCCTCGTCCAGCGACACGAAGCAGGCGGAGGTTAAAACAGGCTGTTCAGGATGTGGAACAATCATCAAACTGCTGCTTCCACGCATCGAGCTGCAGGCGAACCAAGCCGACGCAACGGCATCATTCATTCCTCACGGGTCAGGAAAATTTATCAGAACAAAGAAAACAGTTTATTATGTCTGAGAGAAAAATGACTAAATATGTCCTGATGGAGAAAATAAAGATAAAAATAATACAGATAATAAAAATAAATACAATGATTATGAAAACGTTTAAACTGAAAACATTAGACGTGATAAAATGTTTTTAAATGTGAGCTAATTCAAATAAAACTTGTATAAAATCAATGCATAACCTTTATTTAACATTTTTAAAAAGTATATTTTTATTACTTTTGATTGGATTTAAAATGATAAATAAAGGATTCCGGATTAAAGAATCATTGATAAATAAAATATTAAGTTTATTTCATTGTGAATAAACCAAAATAATTTCAAAATTGTTATTTTTTTTTTTTTTTTTTGCTGATTCTCAACAACAAAAATAATTTCTTCCTTTTAAAACATTTTATTTATTTTTTATTAAGTCAATAGAATAATTACATAAAAAAATAATGATTTTATTTAATATATGGCTGCATTGAAACCTTTATATTGGTGCAAATTTTAAATAAAATGTTTAATTTTTGCTTCAGATTGTTTAATTATTTGGTCACAGAAAAAAGAAAAAGGCTGATATTCAATTAAAAGCAGATTTAATGAAGTTTGTTTGATTAACTGGATGATTTGACCAGAAATCTGTGATTTGTTTTTAATCTTTGGCTCCGATCAGCCGCAGCCTGAGCAGCTGAAAGCGTTTCCTCCATGAATCCAGTCGGTTCTCTGCGGCGCTGCTGCAGATAAGTCCCCCCAACCCAAACCGCTGCAGCACAATCTGAGACGTGCCCACATTAAATCACAGACGTCACCTCTCTGGATCGGCGGTGGGAACCAGAACCTTTGTTATGGTTTCCTTTTTTTTGGGGGGGAGTTTTAACACAAACACAACAACATTAATTAGCCTCAAAGCGACTCCTGCCGACTGTTTAAAGTTGTTTTTTCTCCCAGGGAAGCAGGCAGCAAAATGTGTGTTTATAGTTTCCCTTCTGTGTCTGCAGGATTATGGTAATAACAGGCTGCCGGGCCCTGCTGGTGGGCGGGCCGGTCCGCGGACCCTTATCAGTGTGTTGCAGTGGCCCATTCTTCACCTTGATTCGCAGCTCAGCGACTTTATCACCAAAACCAGAACGAGGACGCTTCCAAAGGCACGAACGATCCCATCGGCGTTCTGCAGGACCGCCCATGTTATCAGGAACGATCGGCGATGAGCTCTTATCTTCACGCTCGGCGTCTCCCTCCAGATTCTGCAGAAGACGACCCAAAAGCGACGCTCGCAGGTGAGGGGCGGCGGGCTTCTGCGGCGCTGCAGGTGTGACGCACCCGCCGTCAGCTCATCAGATAAGAACGCTGCTCTGCGGCGCCGTCAGAGCTGCTGGTGACCTTCAGGCTGGAGAGCAGAACCAGCTTCCTGAATGGTTCTCAGATCAGAGACGGGCTGCAGGATGGGCTGAAGCTGTCCGGTTTCCAAGGAGACGGCATGCGGAGGGGTGGTTAACCCGCCCGCTCCGTCTTCTCATTCCTCAGATGCTCCGAGCAGGTAAGGCTGCAGGTTCTTCTTCTTCTTTCAGATGTTTGCATCCATCAGGAGGGGATTCTGTCCACAGGAATAACTTCAGTCCAAGTTTCTGCTCTCAGAGGGACGCTGCTGCTTTAAAAACACCTCATTAAGTGTCAATGATCACCGATTGAGCTGCAGAGTAACTAAAGCAGGCAGCCGTCCAGCTCCATCAGCAGCCTCAGCTGTGTGTCCGTCACGCTCCCACGCTCACTCCAATTCTCATTTCTCCTCTGGTTGCAGCCCGCTGGAGCCTGTGCTGAGGAATTATCTGCTGTCGGCTGGGACGTCCCCCCCCCTCGCGACTCAGCCATGCTGTCCGGCGCCGTTCAGATCCTGGCGTTCGCCCTGGCGCTGCTGGGCGTCCTGGGCGCCACCGTGGCCACGCTGCTGCCCAACTGGAAGGTGAGCATCAGCGTGTGGACCAGCATCATGACCCCCATCTCGCAGATGCAGGGTCTGTGGATGGACTGCGTGTGGTACAGCTCCGGTGTCTTCAGCTGCACCATGAAGAACTCCGTGCTGTCGCTGCCGCCGTCGCTGCAGATGATGCGGGCCGGCATGGTGCTGTCCTGCATGGTGGCTGCGTTTGGACTCTGCCTCGCCTCCCTGGGGCTTAAGTGCACTCGGTGGGGGGGGAGCCACCGAGCGAAGGGGCACACGGCCATCGCCGCGGGGGGCTGCTTCGTCCTGGCCAGCTTCCTCTGTCTGGTTCCGGCGTCGATGTTCACCAACGAGGTCATCACCGCCTTCCTGACCACGGATCTGCCGGACAGCAGTAAATACCAGCCCGGCGGAGCTCTGTGCGTCACCTTCATCTCCGCTGGCTTCCTGCTGGCTGGAGGGGTGATATTCTGCCTGTCCTGTCCAGGAAGGAGCTCCGGGCGACCGGAGAGCGTCTCCTCGCCCGGCCCAAACGGCCCGGTGCTGAAAAGCGAGGAGCAGAACAGGCGGGAGGCGAAAGTGGAGAACAAGGAACCCAAAAAGAAGAAAAACAAAAGCGTCCAGCTGCAGACG